CCCCCTCCCCAGCCCAGCGTGCGCTAGGGTCTTCCAACTGAGCTCTTTTCTTCCTTGAACCCCTCACTGCCCTTGGAGCTCCTGTCTTTCTATTGTTAAGGAGCCTGAAGTGGTTAATTGAACAGCTCGTTAGCGATTTTTAAATGGGCACCCCCCTGCTCGAACAACAATTAAGGCCCTTCGAAACGCGATCTGCGACTCCCCGAAGAGGTTTCGGAGCTGGGACGTGCTTGGGGGAGCCTAATTGGGGTTCCGAACAGCTCCATGGGGTCCTGTTATGAGCTCACCTTAACCAAACAGGGTGTTTGTGTGCTCAGCTTAACCAAATGGGGTGTGTGTGTTGGGGGGGACACACCAACAGGGACAAAGGGATGAGAAGGTGAAGTGAGACCCTGTCTGTTTGGGCTTTAAAGATTCCCTGTTTATGCGTCTTTGTGCGTTTCTGTTTTTGTGTGGCTGTGCGTTTGTCTGTTGGTGTGTTTCTACCTACACAGGGCCAGGAGTGTCTGTATGTTTGTGCACCAACAGGACCAGAATTTGGGGATCACCTGAATGAAATCGTTCCTTTTAGTTTTAAAACCCTGTCCGGTTGTGGCTCTCAAAAAAAAAAAAAACAAAAAAAAAAAACGCACAAAACAACCGCGGCCGTCTCTTTGCCGTGATCCCCACTTCCGGGTGGCGGGGTGGACCTGGAGAATTTTAAGGCGCCGAGCCGCACCGCCATACCACCGCCGACGCCATCGGACGCTCGTTGTAGCGGCGAGTCACATGTTGGTTCAAAAAAAAAAAACACACGGAAATCTGGTGCAGTGGTTTTTTTTTCCTTTCCAGCTGCTTAGACGGCTGGGTTCCGGTTTAAATGTGGACCGGTGTGCTCTGCAGCGTCACAGGGGGGTAGATTAGAAGCCCCTTGTGACTCCGGAAGCCTTTGCTGGGTATGGAGTTTTCAAGGGGAAGAAAGGTTGATATAAGTGTGTATATATACTCTGATTGAATTAAATTATATTTGAGTTTATTAACTGTTGCCTCCTGGGTCTGATTTGTGTAAATGGGTCCTCTTTTGTGATCTCAGTGGGGTAGGGGTAGGTGGGTGGGAGAGCATTTCTTTACACCGAGAGTGGTAGGTGCAGGTGGTGCGCCACGCCTCTGTTTGGGGGGGGAATACTACTCATTTCCAGCCTCTCCCAGGTTCTCGGGTCTCTGCCTCAGAAACGCTGTCCGCTGTGAAGCCGTGCCCTGCCTTTGGGGTCACCCCCACAATCCCGGCCGTCTTGCCACAGACTGGGGGGTTTCAGGGCGACAGTTGGGTTTATAGTGACTCCCATCAGACAGGGGGAATGGGGTCTTTTCCCACCTCGAAGCAGACGGGAGCATTTTAACACGCTGAGGGCTCCGAACCTGAAACCCAAGTCGGAACAAAATTTTTTTTTTCCTTCCCGCTACTGGACGGGGAAAGGGGTTTAATCCAAAATCCGGGAGAGCTGGACCGGACCGGACCGGACCGCCGCCCGTCCCGCCGGCGGGACGAGGGGAGGACGCGCCCGGGAGAGATTCGGTTCTCCGGGCCCGCGGCCTGAAAGCCCACGACCGAGGCGGGGGGCGGACTCGCTCTCCCACCCCACAAGTCACGCCACGCCACGCCCCGTTGTCCTGTATCTAAGCCCGGGTGTGGGCTGGCAGACCTTCCCTGGACTGTTTCCGCACCTGTTTCTTGAGAAGCGGGGGCGGGAAAGTTTAAATTCGGGTGACCAGACGCCCTCTTTTTTTTTTCTCCCGGACATGTCCCCTATTTCGAGAACTAAAATACCGGTCCGACCGGGATTGATAAAATTCCCCAACATTGTCCGGGATCTTGTTTTGCTCGGCACTCGGGCGGTGTAAACAAAGCGGCCTACATCTTTTCCTTCGACCCACGCCATTACCCGTAGATGTTTTGAAGTTACACGCAGCGTAGCTTGAAAAGTGTGTGTGTGAGGGAGGGAGGTTATGGAAATGAGAAATAACGATTTTGAACTTGTTCCGTTATATTTCGAAACGTTTCG